AATAAGAAGTAAGCCTTTGCAATTCTTTTTTTAAATCATATATTTAACGTTTGGATTATGATTTTAAAAAGTTAACTGTATAATTTTAAGTCTTCTTCATTAACCGTGTTTTCGGGATGCTCTATTACTTGGAAATTTGTCGAGTTTTTATAGGAGAGAATTTCTGGTAAGAAAGCGAGAAAAATTAATCAAACTGCACCTGTAAAGTGGATATGACATCTTCTTTCCGAATTGACGTCATCTGCGATAAATCCATCACAGAAATTGCGCGCTCCTCCCCACCTGCTACTTCCTCCTCTTTGAAACGCATCAACTTCTCTATTATGGTTGCTGACCAGAAACTTCGATATGACAACTGAAGTACGATAGATGAAGAATACCGTCAAGTTAGTGATAATCGAAGCAATCGAACGAACCAAACCGAGATCAGAGAGAGGTTTCTCTGGAGAGCCAGTCTTTCCCTCGACTTTAGATAGTTCATAACTAAACAATGTTTTAATGAAAAATCTGTGAGTTGCAAACGAATAAAAATGATAACAAACTAAAAATGGATAGATCGAACCGTTTGGAAATGTTTACCTGAACTCTATCAATAATCGTCCGTACCCCATTTTCTGGTATGGAGGCAATACTAATATACAAGCTACATTATACTCCTCCGCCGACTCCTTTTCCTAGAAATAAACTTACTACATAAACTGAGGCAACGAATAGCTAAGTAAGGCATACTTTGGAGAAGAAGCCAACAATATGAAATCCTCGATCGTCCAAATATGCAAGTACGTAGAACAAAAAAGGATCTGTATCGTAGTATAAGGTCTTATGATCGAGGAACAACTTCGCCAACAAGCACAGATTTTGTGCATAAGCCTGAAGACATCAACAAAAATAAAGAATTTAGGCGATTCTATTAAGACAGTTAAACAAATACCTTATTCTTTCTGCCGTCGATCTCAAAAAACGACAAATTCTCATTGCGATATATTTCATTGCCTGGAGGATGCTTCAGATAACATTTCTTCTAAATAACACTATAGATTGCTATTGAAAAAATGAGGAAATTTAGAGCGAAGCTAGAAAGAACTGACCATATGTGTTTTCAAACACGTCTGACTTTTGACATACTTCAAACAAAACTCGCAGATATAAATGCATGGCAAATGTACCAGTTGTTGAGGATAAGGCGCAAAATACCATGGCTGTATCCTGTGCCTGAATTCAAAAAAAGTAGTTTCCCTGACTAGCCAAGTGATCAAATGAACAGGAGTGAACATCAACAATGTCAGGCTAACCTGCCCAACTCTATCATCTCAATATTTCGAATCCTTGTTAGAGCATCTTCACTATGACCAACCATAGACATGGATCCTCGTGTGCTCGGAGCTAGAAGTAGAGAATAAGTCTCAAAAGATGAAGATTTTAGAGACTGAAAGAACTGATTAGCAATGGAAAACGATTATAAAGAATAATTCTGTCTAATAACCGTGGACATCTTTCAATGAAAAAATTTCCAAAGTTTAAACCAATGTCAAGACAGTCATAATTAAGGATACTAAGGCCAAAATAAACGAACAACTACAAACAAACCTCCGTTCTGCCCTATGCCATCCTGACTATCTTCATCCATAGTTGCCGCTTTCCTTTTTCGCATTGCTGCGCTTTTCTTGCTCATTTCTCTTTCAGGGGACGCTGATGCCGAGGTACT